CCTCCCGGAGCAGGGGCACGGCAGGACGGCCCGGCCGGCCGCAGCCGGGGCTCCCCTGCACCCCTGCCGCAACCCACCCCCGGTTCAAAGGCCGTCGCGTTGGAAAGGGACAGTTGCACGAAGTCTGGAAACGCGGGTGGGCTGATGCGTGGATCACCTATCTTCAGACCACCTGCTGGTCTTGCGGAGCTTATCTCGTGTCGGTTTCGTTTTCCTTTAATACGTGATTTAAGGAGGTTGTGGCAATGATATTCACACAAACCCTATTCAGAGGCAAATTCAAAAATTCATTATTTCATCAAAGCTTGAGAGATTTTTTCCCCATGATTGAACGAAGTAATTTTATAATTTTATGATTTTTATTTTAATGAAAACGAAAACCATCAGCAAGAATTTTCCATTAATGCAGAAATGATTTTAGAATGGTCGAAAAACATGTTTCAATGAGACTTCCACAGTGAAAAGAAAGTGCAGATGGTGCAGGGACTTAAGGACTCGTTTCTATGGTGTCTGGCAGTTTTTCAAGCACCCAGGGTGCGATTCTACCTGTTAATTAGATCCACTGAGTATTCAAGACACATGAGGCTTTCACATCCATGCTTAATGCCATAGGCTCACCGTTTGCAGAAGCAGCAAAGGTCCTAGTGCCACTCTTCCAAACAGTAACAAAGTAAGTGCAAATGGATACTAAAATCATCAATATATACCTTTAACTCTTCTCAGGAGCGTGCAACATCAAAGGTAGGCCTGGATAGGCAGAGAGGCTTCGCCTGGTGATCAAGCTTACTTGTGTGTGTTTGAGAAAGAGGGGAAGGAGAGAGGGGAGCTATGGTACAAATGCTTTCTCCAAGGTAAATACTATTTAGACAGAGATCTACATTAAAAATAATGAGTATTCGCTAATGGAGACATGCTCTGTAACTGAGATAACCCTAATATCCCTCCTTTTAAAGCAACTAAACCACAATACATTTATTAAACTGAAGTATCCATTGCCTGTCCGTTTACAAGTGCCATCTTTCTGACAATGGTTCAGAAATGTAAAAGGCTATTTCAAATAACAATTAAGAGCCAGTTAAAGGGTACTTATCCTTCATTCTTCGAGTATTTTTGCATCTTTACACAGTCTATAATTCGACTTGGAGAATCAAAAACCTGTCTTCATTCACCCGAGCAACAGCAGTGAAGTCATTTGAATCAATCCACATTTAAACTGGTGCAACTACAAAGATTTGCAAGACAATGGCAGGGACATTCCCAGGAAAACTCAGCAGTAGAAACACACAACCTGGCATATGTGAATCAAATTTTCCTCCTTGTCACAAACATTTACCTTTACAACAGTAAATGAAGACTAGTTCCAGTTATTAGCCTGGGTGTATTTTAACTCATTGATTTTCACAGATTAGTGGTTAGTTAGCACTATTGTGAAAGCTTCGCAGACAACTCCAACACAATGCAAATGACTATGTAAATCACAGATTTAATTAAGGAACTAGCTATAACATACATGCCAGTAATTGCAAATAATAAAATATGGATTGTGGCTGTGATTTGTATTTAGTTTGTAGAAAAAAAAATGGCAGAGAACAGAATGCTGAGTGGCGTGGTTAGGTGTAGTGGTTGGAACAAGGAGGTGAAAATACAAGTTAGTTCTTGAATGTACAAAGAGATTTTGACACCTACACATTCAACCTGAAATGAACAGGATGACTGTAGGGTGGAGTGGCACCCAAAATAGGGTGCAAGCCTTGATGTCCACACCCTTACCAAGAAACCACATCAGAAAAAGTCAGACAAGCGAGTTTGCAGGCCTAGAGGCCTACAGCACCAACAAAATATTGTGATCTACTATAGAAGTCTCTGCTGACTTACGTGTCTCGTGCTATAGCCACAACTGGTCCCTTCACACTGGGGTGAGTGACAGCCAAGTAACTTTTTTTTTTTTTTTTAGCAAACCTCACTGAATATCTTTGTCATGTCAATGGTTTCCTTTGCATTCAGAGCAAGTCTGGATTTATACAGGAAAATGAAGTTCAGATATGTTCTACATAAAAAATAATAGACTCTAGAATAGCATCACCAGAATCAAGATGATGTGTGAGAAACTGAGTCTTGAGCTCAGGAAAAGGGGACATTTTCAAAAGTTTCATTCCCTGGAATGGGAAGGAGATAACGATTGCATGGAAAAGATAGAATGAGTGAAAGACTGACTCCCAGCTGCTAAGAGCGTCAAAGAAGGACACTGGGAGGAGGTCAAGGTGTCCTTTGAGAGCTTAATTTGTTATTGACAGGGAGTTGCTGAGTGTACGGCACTGAGTTTGCTTGACATTAAGATTCAGTCTAGCATCCAATTATAGAGATTGGGTTGACAGAATTCAAAAGTTTCTCTAAGGTAAAACACATGAAAGAAATGACCCTCCTGTGGTATCAAGAAAACCTTTCTACACACAATGGATTAATTTCAAACTGGGCCGAAACCCTCCATTTTGATTCTGACCCTGTTTTAAAATGCTTACTGCCAGTCAGGAATTAGCAACTCTGGGGTCTGAACTCTCTAACATTTTCTTCAGCTGAGTCTGTCAATGGGTACCATTTTACTGAGATCCTCTGCTAATTGTAGAACTCTGGGCTGCTGCTGCACCATTATTGTGTTCTGCCTTGACCCACTGCTCTGATCGTGCATAGCTCCCTCTTACTTCTGACAGATCAGACTTAGTGATTTACAGATTTACAAGTAGTAAATGGAGTTTCTCAGGAATTTGCACTTGATAGCTTGGGTCTCCATTTCTGTCATATTGCATCACTGAGAATTTTCTGTTACAGAGTATTTTCAGCCCAATATGGAGAAAAATGCTTTATTTAAAAGAGGTGTATTTACAATGCTGTAGTATCAACAAGGTCAAACACAACTCTGATAAAAAATTCCAGAGAACATTCAGAAACAGCACATCCCCTGAGCATTTCCCTCTCAGGTGCTCAGTAGAAGTTCGGCTAGTGTGTCACAAAGGTCAGTGTTCCTGAACACTTTCAACCTCTGTTGACTCCTGTAGGAATGGGGAACCTTCAGTACATTGCAAGACAACGTAATTTTTCAAAAGACATGTATTAGGCCTCAGGTGCTTCCTCATTTGCAATCAGTGAAGCTTTAAATTTGCATCCCTCGAGTGGTGTGTGAAAATAGAAGAGGATTCCCTTTTGCCACAAGAGGCTAGAGACCTCTTCTCTCAGAGGAGGATCTGCCTCTGGAAGACGCTGGTACGAAAGCACTATGCAAGGGACTACAGTAGACCAGGGGAGCAAGGGAAGCGCATTGTGGAGTCCCATGGGTAGGGTTTATCACAGCTATACCTTTTCTCAGGGTTAAGTTCTCAACGAACAATGAACAATTCACCTTGTCACCAACTAGGTGTGACATGGTGATAGCAGATAGTATTGAGCAGGCTCTGGTAGTTTAGAGAAGGCATCTTGTCACATGGACATCCAGGTTTGTGACTAATCTAGGTTACTTCTCCTATTTGAATGTAGGTACAGCCTTACACTGAAAAGACTGCCCTTCTCCCCAGGCTGGGGTACACTGGGAGTAGAATTCATAGTCCCTGTAGAGATGTTTCTGTAACTACCTTTATCAAGAGAAAATCGGCTATGATTCAGAGCTTTTGAGCCTGCTGGGGCAAGAATGGACAAGGAGATTCCAGAGACAAATCCACAACAATATAAATGTTTGTTGATTACAACCCTTTCTGATTAGTAATAGCAAAGCTTTCTTCCCCCAAAATGAATCGAGTGAGATTTTTATGTTTTTTTTTTGCGACTGTTTGGGATTCAATGTTATCTTTTTCACTAAATCACAATGTATTTTGACTAGTGGGAGCAGGGTTTCCAGGAGGAAGGAACTGAGTTACTTTTGCATTGTTTGGAAGCATTTTTCCTTGAAAAATACACAAAACCATGAAAACTCAAGTGTGATGCCCTAACACCATATATCCACACTACTTAATCAGCTGAGCTATTACTCATAATGGCAGATAATGCCATTTAAAAGCACATAAATCTCATTTGAATGCTTTTAAATTACAGGGTTTAATATCAGCATGCCAGAGGCTCCCACCAGAGGGGCTGTCATTATACAATTAGAATGCAATGTGAACAGAAAGGGCATGAAACACTGACAGTCCTCGAGCCCCACCTAGTCTGAATTTCTACTTAGTCCATGAAAAGGACTTTTCCTAGGGCTGATCAGAATTCATCTAATCTTTACAAATTTTTAAAAACAATCATCATTCTCAGTGCCTAAAGACAGTTAAAAAAAAATGGTTTGGTGGTTCTTCAACTCTATCATTCAAAACTTCATTTAAATGGAACGTGTTTAAACACCAGTGGCCAAGAAGTTTAAATGTTCCAAAAAAAAATGCAATGAATGGAATATTCTGATACCAAATTCAGAAAGGTCATTTAATGATTACATTCTTTTGTACTATCTTAACAACTATATTATAGACAGATTTTGTTGTTCAGATGCTTTGAAAATGGCAAACTGGACACTGGTGCAGTTTTTCTTGACTTTGAGCTCCTCCAGGAAGATGTAACTGTTTAACTGGGTGAGTGAGTTAACAAGCACATCAAACCTCAGGTGTTTTATGTCATTCCCAGCACGTATATCTCCACCTGCACAGTGCATAGGGACCCCAGGTTGCTTGGGGTACTTGCCTGGGTCATCACATGGTGTGATGAAACCCCTTCTTTGTGTGTTTTGCATAAGCAGGCGAGTGCCTATAACCAGACTACTGGTATTTATCACACTGGGAGACTGATG